GAACCGGTGTGCTGAGATGGGGATACAACAGAACTTCACTTCGGTATTACACCCCCAAGCGAACGGGCAGACAGAAGTCACGAACAGAGCCATACTCCGCAGATTGAAAGCTCGCTTATCCCGAGCTAAGGGGCTATGGGTAGAAGAGCTGCCCAGCGTACTATGGGCTTACCAAACTACCATTAAGACCGCCACAGGAGAAACCCCCTTCAACCTCACCTATAGCACGGAAGCGGTAATCCCAACCGAGATCGAGGTACCTACATTATGCCTACAAGCCTACGACGATGAAGGAAATGGTGACGAGCTCCGCACCAACCACGACCTAGTAGAAGAGGTACGGGATCTTGTGTACATCCGGAACGTAGCCTACCAGCAAAGAGTAGCCCAGTATTATAACGCCAAGTCAGGAAGCAACACTTCCGTGTAGGGAACCTGGTCCTCCAAAAAGTTATGGTACTTGAGCACGGTGTAGGCAAACTCGGACCGAACTGGGAGGGTCCCTACCGAGTAAAGTGGATACTCGGGGAAGGTACGTATGAGCTCGAAACCCTAGAAGGAAAGCAAGTACCTCGGGCGTAGAACATCAGCAATCTAAGGCGATACTACCTCTGATTACGAATTGAAAAGGCACCAGCCCCAAAAACAATTAAGCAAGCTCTAACTCTTAGATTGTGATTTCTAACTCGCAGTCTACTATGAGAGTACTAATTTAGCCATCGGAGTGACCTCATCGGGTTATCCACCCCTGGTCCTCTAACATTTAGTTCCTTACAGATCTCTAAGGAGAAATGAAATTCAGGAGCGAACTACGGGTCTCTCCCAAAGCCTAAGGGCCACAAGAAGACCCAGTTGCCACTTCGGTGTGGGCGAAGTTTAGGAGCGGACTACGGGTCCCTCCCAAAGCCTAAGAGCCACAAGAAGACCCAGTTGCCACTTTGGTGTGGGCAAAGTTCAGGAGCGGACTACGGGTCCCTCCCAAAGCCTAAGGGCCACAAGACCCAGTTGCCACTTCAGCATGGGCGAAGTTCAAGAGCAGACTACAGGTCCCTCCCGAAGCCTAAGGGTCGAAAATGCCAAACTGACAAGGACCTAGGCGTTGCATAAGACCTAGTTACTTTGCGGCATAAGCAAGCTACTTCTAACACCTAAGGTAAAGACAACTTGGGTATAAACCCTACGATGTCTATGCCACCCCGGTTATCCTTACTCATTGCCAGCTCGACACCTCGACAGGTCAGGTAACCTACACATTAAAATTGCCCAGCTCGGAACTCACTCACACTTAGAATTATTTTGTACTCTGGATTACTCAGAAAATTATATATTTCATTAGTAAAAAGGTTCAAGTACAAGAATTTTACTAAAACCCGAGCTCAACGGCTCGGGAGAGTACATCCACAGTTCAAAGAAGAAAAAAGGAATAAGAAGCCATCACGCAGAAGGGTCCACCACTTTGATCTCTTCATCACTCTCCTCCCCTGA